CCGTAAAGGCTGGAGACGGAGCAGACCTCCCAGGCCCGTATCCTGGGGCCAAGGCGGGAGCGAGCGCCCAGTGTCGCACCCATTGGGTGTGGAGAGGGTCTGGAAGGAATCGCTGCTGGGGTCCTGGGCCCCAGCCCTGTGGCTGGTCCTCGTGTGTGTGCAGGGGGCTCCAGGGTCTTCGTGCTTCCCCGGGTGCAGGGGCTGCTCCCTGCTTGTGTCTGGCTCAGCGGGGTGGCCACGGAGCAGTGGCTGTGACCGGGGGCTGTCTGCAGTGGGGGTGCAGTGCCCTGGCGTGGAGGGGAGGGTGTGGATTGATTTTTGGGGGGAGCAGGGTTTGTACCACAGAAGCACTTAGAGGCCTCGACTGAGATCAGGGCCTGGTGGGCCAGGCGCTGCTCAGACACATGGGTGAGAGACAGACCCTGCCCCAAAGAGCTCACAGGCTAAACAGAGCAGGCAAAGGGTGGGAGGGGAAACCGAGGCACAGAGCAGGGCTGTGTGGGACTGTGCGTTTGTGTAGCTGGCTGTGAGGGGGTGATCTAGGTCACAGGGTGGCTGGCTCTTTAAGGTGCCCAGACTCACCTGTGACTGATCAGCAAACCAAGCCAGTGTAAAAGCCAGGGGGGAGCTGCCAGGAGCAGGGAGATTGGCAGGAAGCCCCTGAACCTGGAGGGGCGGATCCAGGGAGTGGGTGGGCTCCTGGAGCAGGGTGACTGAAGCAAGCCGTAGGGACTAGAGAGGCCTCAACGGAAGATCCTGGCTCTGGGGGAAGCCCTGGAAATTGCACTGAACTGTTTTACCGGAGAGAAAAACAGTGCGGGTCTGGCCAGAGCTCTGGGCGTGGGGGCAGCCGAGGCGGGGCAGGCAGGTCAGACCATGCAGTGGCTCAGTGTGCCTGGGCTGGAGGTCGCAAGCGCGTGATTTAGGGCACGTGCCCCTTGGCACACACCCCGTAAGTGGGATGTGGAAGGCTCCAGCCGGATACTTGTACGTTTGGTTTTGGGGGCACTGGCTGACAGGAGTGTCCTAAATTCTAAGCCTGACTTGTTCGGCCGTGTGTCCCTCCCCCACTCTCTGCCTCAGTGTCCCCATCTGCAAAATGGGGGTGAGAGTCCTGTAAACGGGCAAGCGTACATGTGTCACCACTGCCCTCTGCTGGGTGGAATCAGAACTGCCCCACCACATCTCATAGGCCCTGTGCTGCTAGCAGAGGAGATTCTCCTTGAGCGGCCGTGGCAGGGGCCTGGGCAGTTTGATCAAGGGATTCAAGTTCTAGCCCCCTTCCCCCCCCATGGCTGTGAAGTTCCATGGGGTGCAGCAAGTCCCCCACATAGGGTATATTACTCCTGCAGGATCCTTCCACCTCTTTCCTGGTTCCTGCAGCCAGCTAGGTGGGTTCCCCCCAGCTTTCCCCTCCCCTGGGACGCAGGGGTGCCCCTGGGGATGGGGGACTATGGTGGGGGGCCGGAGGGTGCCAGCTGTGATAGCAGGGAGCAGGGATGATGAAGGATCCCCTCCACGTGTCACTTACAAACCTGGCCCCCTGGAGCCACTAATGAGGGGTCACCTGCTAACGAGGCACTAGGAATACCCCAGTGTCCCCAGCCCCCGGCGGGGTAAGTGAGAGGGGAAGCGGGAGGAAGAATGATCCCTGTGGTAGATATGGGAACTGAGCCCCCCACCCCGTCTGGTGACCGCCCTGGCATTCTGCAAGGCCCATCTCCGTGCCCTGCCCCTGGGGGAGAGGGGCGTGTTAAGGGCTAGTGATGGGGGGAGAGAGCTTGGGCTGAATAATGTTCGGGGCAGGGGGGCTTTTCATGGGTAGGGGCTGAGGGGCAGCAGCTGCTGGCTTTCCCCGGGAATGGGCCGTATGCTGGAGATCTGGCCAAGGGCAGGCGTGTTCACCCGGGAGATGAGGGGTCTCGCGATGGGGACAACTCAGGGGGAGCTCGGTGCTGGGTGGGGGGCCCCGGCTAGACTGGACACGGCATGTGTCGGTGGATCTTTGGGTCTGTCCAGGTAGGTGCGGGTTTGTAGATCCCCGTGTGGCCAGGTGTGTCTAGGTGTCTGTGCGTATAGGTGTGTGCTGCTAGACCCCTTGGGGTGGCCAGGGGGGTGTGTCTGGATGTGTGTGGGCTGGTAGGTGGGCGAGCATGCGTGTATAGGTCTGTTGCTAGATCCATGTGTGTCCGGGTATTGGTAGGTCCTGGGGTGTCCAGGTGTCAGTAGGTTCCGGGGTGTCTGGTTGTTGGTAGGTCCCGGGGTGCCCGGCTGGCGTGTGAGTAGGGATCGGGGTGCCCGGCTGTGCGTGTGAGTAGGGATCGGGGTGCCCGGTTGTGTGTGTGGGTCGGTCCCGGGGTGCCCGGCTGTGTGTGTGAGTAGGGATCGGGGTGCCCAGCTGTGCGTGTGGGTCAGTCCCAGGGTGCCCGGCTGTGCGTGTGGGTAGGGATCAGGGTGCCTGGCTGTGCATGTGGGCGGTCCCAGGGTGCCCGGCTGTGCGTGTGGGTAGGGATCGGGGTGCCCGGCTGTGCGTGTGGGTTGGTCCCGGGGTTCCCGGCTGTGCGTGTGGGTAGGGACTGGGGTGCCTGGCTGTGCATGTGGGTCGGTCCCGGGGTGCCCGGCTGTGTGTGTGGGTCAGTCCCGGGGTGCCCGGCTGTGTGTGTGAGTAGGGATCGGGGTGCCCGGCTGTGCGTGTGGGTCGGTCCCGGGGTGCCCGGCTGTGTGTGTGAGTAGGGATCGGGGTGCCCGGCTGTGTGTGTGAGTAGGGATTGGGGTGCCTGGCTGTGCATGTGGGTCGGTCCCGGGGTGCCTGGCTGTGCGTGTGGGTCAGTCCCGGGGTGCCCGGCTGTGCGTGTAAGTAGGGATTGGGGTGCCTGGCTGTGCATGTGGGTCGGTCCCGGGGTGCCTGGCTGTGCGTGTGAGTAGGGATCGGGGTGCCCGGCTGTGTGTGTGAGTAGGGATCGGGGTGCCCGGCTGTGCGTGTGGGTCGGTCCCGGGGTACCCGGCTGTGCGTGTGGGTAAGGATCGGGGTGCCCGGCTGTGCGTGTGAGTAGGGATCGGGGTGCCGGCTGTGCGTGTGAGTAGGGATCGGGGTGCCCGGCTGTGCGTGTGGGTCGGTCCCGGGGTGCCTGGCTGTGCGTGTGGGTAGGGATCGGGGTGCCCAGCTGTGCGTGTGGGTCAGTCCCGGGGTGCCCGGCTGTGCGTGTGGGTAAGGATCGGGGTGCCCGGCTGTGTGTGTGGGTAGGGATCGGGGTTCCCGGCTGTGCGTGTGAGTGGGGATCGGGGTGCCCGGCTGTGCGTGTGGGTCGGTCCCGGGGTGCCCGGCTGTGTGTGTGGGTAGGGATCGGGGTTCCCGGCTGTGCGTGTGAGTAGGGATCGGGGTGCCCGGCTGTGTGTGTGGGTAAGGATCGGGGTGCCCGGCTGTGTGTGTGGGTAGGGATCGGGGTTCCGGCTGTGCGTGTGAGTGGGGACCGGGGTGCCCAGCTGTGCGTGTGAGCGGGGACCGGGGTGCCCGGCTGTGCGTGTGAGTGGGGACCGGGGTGCCCGGCTGTCCGTGTGGGTGGGGATCGGGGTGCCCGGCTGTGCGTGTGAGTGGGGATCGGGGTGCCCGGCTGTGCGTGTGAGCGGGGATCGGGGTGCCCGGCTGTGCGTGTGGGTGGGGATCGGGGTGCCCGGCTGTGCGTGTGAGTGGGGACCGGGGTGCCCGGCTGTGCGTGTGGGTGGGGATCGGGGTGCCCGGCTGTGCGTGTGGGCGGGGATCGGGGTGCCCGGCTGTGCGTGTGGGTGCGGATCGGGGTGCCCGGCTGTGCGTGTGAGTGGGGATCGGGGTGTTCTCCTGCTAGGCCAGCCCTGCGCGAGTGCTGCTGCGGCCCATTAATAATTGACGGCATGATGGCGATTATGGGGCCTGTACAAGCGTCCTGAATATTTCCTCGGGCCCTGCTGCTGCTGGGAATGGATGGGGCTCCCTCCTCATCCATCATCCGCAGGGGGCTCTTCCCTGCTGCTGCCTCAGCTTCTCCCTGTGGGGCCGGGCTGGGCTGCCCCACACTCCTGGACTCCTCTCCCCTTCTCTGGCCCAGCCTGCTCTGCACCCTCCCCAGCCCCTCTCATGCCTGGGGCTCTCACCCCTGCTCTCCAGGCTGCTCCTCCGGGGGCGTCCTACCCACATCCCTCAGCATCAATCCCCGCTCTCCCCTCCCCCCAGGACTCCTGGGTCCCGCGGCTTGGGCTCCCTGATTGATCGGCTCTGCAGCAATAAAACCCATTAGCTGCCTGCCGCCAGGGAGGGCTCAGGTGGTGGTCAATACCCAGAGCGGCCGGGGAGAAGTCGCTGGAAGGGCCAGCCCGGCGCTCGCCGGCAGAGATAGCTGGATATGTGTCTGTGGGGACCGATGGGCCGCGGGTGGGCGGGGGCGTCTGCACACGGGAGTCGGGGTGGGGGTGCTCTAGCCGGATGCTGGGGGTGCTGCAGGGGGGCATGGCTGTGACTGGCATTGGGGTTGGGAGGGCATGGGGGGTTCGTGCAGCCTGCCACGGGTCTGCCAGCCCTCGCCACCCCACCCCCCGCCATCGGACCAGCCACCCGAGCTTGCTGCCCCCCCGGGGGGCGGAGGAGAGACCTGGCATGGCATCCCACCTGGCCTGCCCGGCCCCCACCAGGAAGCCAGAGCCCTGGGAATGGGGCTGGTTCCCCATGTCACCCCAAGGGCACTGGCCTGGTCCCCATCATTTCACAGCAGCGTGGGGACTGTCCCCGGGACATCCCCACCCCACAGCCCGGGTGGGGAGACACCCAAGGCTCGGGGGGGGGGCATGGGCTCTGCCCCTGCTCAGTGGGTACGGATCTCCCTGGGGGCGTGTGGGATGGGGCAGGTGTGGTGGGATGGGAGATGTATGGGGGTGGGATTGGGAGGTGAAGCCATAGGCTGCGGGACCAGTAGGACAGGACCCCCCCAACACATGCATTAAATATCCGGATTTCTCCCCTTTTCTCTCAGGTTTTTCCTCAAGTTCTTCCTCAAGTGCAACCAGAACTGCCTGAAGAACGCGGGGAACCCCCGGGACATGCGCCGCTTCCAGGTGAACCCCCGCCCCCGGGACAGGGGGCCCCCGCCCGGCAGGTCGGGACTGCAGCACCCCCCAAGCGCCGGGGCTGGGGACGAACAGCGGGGGCTCGGACATGGCCTCCAGCCAGGCCCCCGCTGCCCGCTCTGGTGCTGTCCTGCTGCGCCACCCCCTGGGTGGGGAGAAAGGGGGCGTCGGGCTGGGGACGGGCCCCATGGGCCCCCCAGCAGGTAGCTCCGAGCGCAGCCTGGGACGGGCCTTGCGGGGAAGGGCACAACCCCGGGGTGTTCCTGACACGGAGGTCTGGGGGTGTGGAGGCGGCTCCCCTGGGAGGGCTGGGGGGGGTCCGTGACTTGGGCCAGGCCTGGCTCACAGGGGCAGGTGGCCTGGCTGCTCCCCGCGGCCGGTTGCCTGGGGGGCGGCTGACGGGCTGGCTCAGCCCGGGCCCCTGAGGGTGACCAGTCCAGTCTCTGGGCAGTCACCGGTGGTGTGGGGGGGCACATCTCAGCCTCCTCTCGGCCCGCAGCGAGGGGAGAACCCCACTCCCCCAGGGGATTCCCGCGGTCTGACGTGGCCAGGCCACGGGGCGCGGGCAGCCTGTGTCCTCGCTCATTGCAGAGACTGCAGCCAGGCCTGCTCTGGGGACCCCTGGAGGGCCGGCACATGTGGGGCTAGGAAAGATGGGTCCTCTGCTCTCCGGGCTGTGGAGTCGGCTCCCCTCGCCAGCACGAAACCCACCAATAGATCCACACAGCGACGGCTCCCGGACCTGCACCGTGACATTTGTGCGCCTGAGAGCTGTGGGAGTTTCTGAGGGGCCTAGGGGAGTTAGGAGCAATCCCCCCCAGAGTGACTCCACGGTCTGATCTTGCTGGATTCTGGCACCGTTGCTCTCCTTGGAGCTGCTTACCTGCCCCCTCACCCCAGCCCAAACGGAAGGAGCCGAAAAGTGGCACCTTCCCCCCTCCATTAGCCCCTCGCTGGCTCAGTGCAGCAGCTGGGGGCTGCCTAGATGTCTGGGGGAGGGGTGGTTTGGGGACGTCTCTGTCTCTGCGGCTCGTGGCATTACGTGGGGTCGGAGGGCTGCATTGTGGCGTGGAAGGCAGAGGCAGTCGCAGCTGTGCCCGGTGGGCCGTTCTCCAGGGGGAAGGGGTGTCTGTCTGTCTGCCTGTCCCATCTGAGGAGTGCCAGAGTGATTGTGACAGTGGGGACTGTGTGAATAACCAGCCTGGCACCATCGCCAGCTCCTGGGAGCCTCGGCGGGCCTGCCAGCCCAGGGCTACCTCAGGGTGTTGGGAGCCCTATGTCCAAGGCCTCAGCTGCACTACCAAGCTCACCGGACTGAGCCGCGTTGTGCCGGGTGGCTGTGGCCCAGCCTGCAGGAACGGGGCATCCAGGAAGCTGGGTTCTTGAGGGACCAGGGCTTTGGCCAAGGCGTACTGTGGTTCATTCTGTAGGACGGGGGTGGGCAATTGTATTGGACACCCTGGGGCAGCTGTTCCCATTCTACCACCCGCACTGTGTCAGGCAGCCAGGGATCTGTAACCCCAAAGTGTCCGCTGGTATCTCTCGTCCTCCATTCTTCTGCACTTCTCACATTTCAGAGATGGGGAAACCGAGGCATGAACAGTTCAGTGACTTACAGTCACCCGCGGTGCAGTGGCAGAGCCAGGGCCCACTGTGCGTAGGGTCACCGTTCCCCGCTGGCTCTCCCAGCCAGAGGGGTACATACCCTCGTCACAGCGACCCCCGTTGTATCACAGGGCGAGGGCTCGTTAGCAGCAGTACAGCCCTGCATCTCTCCCAGGTACGCCAGCCCTGCCCCTGCCCGCCCCCTGCATCGTGTGCCTCCTCTGGCCTGCCATGCCCAGCTCCCCCGTGGTGCCTGGCGGGTGCAGCTCGGCAGGCGGAGGTGGCGGCTCTGGCCCGGCTCCCCAGCTCACCCCCAGCGCGGCGCCTTCATTAGGGCCTCTCGGAAAGATATGATAATTGTGACATTTTTACATGATTAACAACCCATCCAATTTGCATAGCGCCGCAGTTCCTGGGAGAGCAGCCAAGCCCGCCACCCCGACGAGCCAGCGAGCGGGTGGGGGCAGGGAGCAGACCTGGCAGCCAGGCTGGGGGCTGGGGCTGGCCTGGCCCCCTCGCCCCCTGGAACGCTGACCCTCATGTAACGAAGCGGCCTTTGGCAGCACACTACTGAAAGTATCAATTCAGGAAAAACTGCTTCAAGCAGGGCAGTCACAGCCCCAGACTGGGGTTTCTGTGCACCCCAAGGCAAACCAAACCAGCCAGACAGAGAGGACTTCGGTTTTACCCCACTGGCTAACCACAAGTCACACAAGCAATTCCCTTAGACACCCCAGTTTCCCAGTATCCCCACCAGCACCGCTCCTTATGGGGACGAATGGTTATGAAAACCAAATACCCCAGTAAAAGTAAAAAGGTTCTCTCGATCCCAAAGGACCAAGCCTCAGACACAGGTCAATATACAAATCAGATCTTACCCACAAATCACGCTGTGGCCAATCCTTTAGAATCTAAAATCTAAAGGTTTATTCATAAAAAGAAAGAAATATAGATGAGAGCTAGAATTGGTGAAATGGAATCAATGACATACAGTAACGGCAAAGTTCTTGGTTCAGGCTTTCAGCCGCGATGGAATAAACTGCAGGTTCAAATCCCGTCTCTGGAGAACATCCCCAGCTGGGATGGGTCATTCAGTCCTTTGTTCAGAGCTTCAATTTGTAGCAAGGTTCCTCCAGAGGTAAGAAGCAGGATTGAAGACAAAATGGAGCCGTTTCCAGGAAGGACACCCCTTTGTTCTTACTTTGGAAAATCACAGCAGCAAGGTGGAATTTGGAGTCACCTGGGCAAGTCACATGTCAACGCATGACTCAGGTCTTTACAGGTAGAGCAGCCATTGCTCACATGCTACCTTGAACGTTCCCAGGAAGACTTTTCATATGTGGACTGGAGTCTCCCAAGGTCCATTGTCAGTTAAGTGTTTCTTGATTGGGCACTTACTGAGAATAGTCTTTTCTCAAGAAGCTGACCAAATGCTTCCCTGAGGCTACCTAGAATCAAAACACATTGAGATGCGAGTACGTAGCCAGTATCCATAACTTTAACTACAAACATGACACACCCACACAGATAGGATAATCATACCCAGCAAATCATAGCCTTTCCATAGACACCTCCCACGACCCCCTTTGTACAATATTTGCTGCAAATACAGAACAGTGGTGGCAACACTGATCCGTGCGGTCCCCGTTCATACTAGTAATGTCACAGCGGTCCCAGTTCACGTCAGTAACGTCACACCTGGCTCTGCAGGGCACATGGCAGCAGGGAGTTGCCGCGGCTCAGAGTTCAGGACTGAACAGCTGTCCTGCCCCAGAAACTCCCCTCCCAGCTTTCCCACAATGCACTGGTGGGTGGCGTGGGCCATTGCCTAAGCAGCGTCAGACCCTGGTACTTAGCCCCTAGTAATGGCATCCCCCACCCCCGCCGGAGAGGGCTGGGCCACGGCTGGCATTCAGGGGCCTTGCAGTGCCTTGGGCTGCCCCATTGGGGGTAGGGTTCAACAGACACTGCCGTGCGATGGGCTGCCCCATTGAGGGGGCCTCCAAGGACGCTATGGTGCAATGGGCTGTCCTGTTTCGGGGGGGTTCCAAGGACTCTGCATTGCAATGGGGCTTCCCCATTGAGGGGTGGTGCTAAGGACTCTATGGTGTGATGGGCTGTCCCGTTTCGGGGGCGGGGGTGCTAAGGACTCTGCATTGCAATGGGCTGCCCCACTGAGGGATGGTGCTAAGGACTCTATGGTGTGATGGGCTGTCCCGTTTGGGAGGGGGTTTCTAAGGACTCTGCGGTGTGATGGGCTGTCCTGTTTTAGGGGCGGGGGTGCTAAGGACTCTGCAATGGCTGCCCCATTGAGGGGTGGTGCTAAGGACTGTGGTGTGTTGGGCTGTCCCGTTTGGGGGGGTGCTAAGGACTCTGCGGTGGGATGGGCTGTCCCGTCTGGGGGGGACTCTACCCCTGACCTGCACTCTCGGGGTATAGGCAATGTCCCAAACTGGGGCGGGGTCGCTGAGAGCTGCCGCGGGGGCCCGAGCCGCACAGTGCACCGGCTGCCGGGGTCTCGCCGGACCGGCTCTCCTGCCGCACGGCTGCCGTAACGCTGAGATGCTCTTGGCCCCCAGGTGGTGGTGTCAACGACAGTGAACGTGGACGGGCACGTCCTGGCGGTGTCCGATAACATGTTCGTCCACAACAACTCGAAGCACGGGCGCCGGGCGCGACGGCTGGACCCCTCCGAAGGTGAGCACCCCCCGGCTCTGCCGGAGCATCCAGCCCCCTGCTGCACGCAGGTCGGCGGGAGCGGGGGGCTCAGAATGAGCAGCCGCTTTGGGAAATTGCAGGGGGCGGGCCCCAGCTAAGCGTGCCGGGGGTCTCCAGGCATGGAGTGCCGGGAAACAGCCGCAGAGAGCAGCCCCGAGCGCAGCCCTGTGAGCACTCCCCTCGCACGGGCCTCCCCAGCACCGACCACCATTGCACCGCCGTGATCTCCATTTCCCCGTGCGATCGCACCAGGCCCCGACCCACCCCACCCACCCGGGTCCACTTTCAAATCCTGAGCCAGAAACCAGCACCCCGCCCCAAAATAAAAGCAACGCGAGCCCTCCCCAAGACCTGGCCCCCACGCTCTCCCCGTGGGTGGCTGGGCCCTGGCCAAGGCCCGTCCCCTGGAGGCAGCCAGCCGGCTCTGCTGGCACGATGCCCGGCATTGCAGAGGATCCCGACACACGCCATCTGCCCTAGAAATGGCCTGGCACCAAATCCCACAGCGCTGCCCTGTGAATGACCCTGTCAGCCCCTTAAGAGCTTGCTGGCCCCCGCCCCAAACCTGCCGCGGCCCAGCTGCCCACGGGCTTGATGCTTCAAACGGGGCAGCCCCAAGTTCTTGGCTAGAGGCCAGCACATCCCACTGCGGGCTCCGTAGGAGCAGGATGACGTGCCCTGTTGATGGCAGTTGCCCAGCACAGGCTGTTCTGGGAGGGATGGGGGGACCTGTATGTCACCCCAAACACACCGCTCCCTGCATAGCACTCGCTGTCAGCTCTACCGGCCCCGCGGTGGGTGCTCTGGGCAGCCGGGAACGCTGAGTGCCCCCAGGACACCCCAAGCCCGGGACACCCGGGACCCCCCAGCCCCGGGCCCCCTTTCTAAGCCGGCAGGTGGATGATCGTTCCCTCGCTGCCCCACAGTAAATGGGGGGCTGAGCCCTTCGGGGGGCGCTGCCGTCTCAGGTGGCGGGTGCACAGAAGCTAGACGGCCCCCCCTGCAGGGGCCCAGTGTGTTCTGATCGGTTGCTGCTGCCAGGGCCCGGCGCCCACGCTCCTGGCCCGTTCCTGCTTCATGTGCGTGGCGAAGCCTGGCTGAGACGCCGGTCACCCCCCACCCCTGCCCCAGCAGCCCCCAGACCCCCGATCTCCACCATCAGGGCTCCCCCGGGCAAGAAACTCCACTGGCTCCTGCTTCGCCCCTCCTGCTGTCGAATACAGCTTGGGGGGTGGGGGTGGCGAGGGGCAGGGCCTGGCACTTGGCTCTGGGGCCTGCCGTGGTGCAATGCCATCGGCAGGGCACAGGTGCAGCCAGACCCACACATCACGGCCCCGGGACCTGCACCCAGCGGGATGGGATCTGTGGCACACCGACGCGGACCCGGCCAGGCTGGCACTGGCCTGGGGTCTGGCTCCTGGCATGGTTCTGCCAGGGCTGCCACTGGCCATCCTCAAAGCCCCGGCCCCAGTGACTCAAGGTCCACTGATGGCAGCCGGAGGCTTCCCAAGGATCTCACAGGGGTTTGGGTCCTCCCGCCTTCCCCCCAGGGCTGGGACCGGGAGCTCTCCGACTCGGGCCTTTGCAGCAGGGCCCCGGGAGAAGTGTGTGCCCCCCGCGAACCTCCACTCGCCCGCCGTGCCCTGGGGTCTCTCCCCGCTGCAGCTGCTGCAACACCGCACAAGTCCACCCTCTGTTCCCTCCGCTCCCCACCCCAGCCCCTCTGGCATTCGGGGGCCAGGCCCCCAGCCACGCTATGTTACGGCCTCTGTGGAACTGCCAGTCCCCGCTGGCAAACCCCCGGCTCGGCGTCTATGTCTCCCCCAGCGCTGACCCCCCCGGCCTGGCAGGCTAGACCCTCTCTGGAGCTGGCAGTGCCCAGCGGCCCTGCAGTGCCCCGCTCTAGAGCTCCCCCCAGCCCCCTCCCCGGCCGAGGGAAGCTTTGCCATTCCCACGGGGAACGGGTGTCCCAGCCCTACTCCCCTGCAGTAAGTCCATCTGCCCCCCTCCCTCCTGTCCATCCGCCCTTCCATCCTTCCCTATTCACACCCCTCCCTCCATCCCTCCCTATTCACACTCCTCCCTCCATCCATCCCTCCCTCCCTGTACACACCCCTCCATTCATCCATCCATCCCTGTACACACCCCTCCATCCATCTCTCCCCATTCTCACCCCTCCATCACACCCCTCCATGCATCCGCCCCCATACACACCCCTCTGCCTATCCTTCCATCCCTCCATCCATCCTTCCCCATTCACACCCCTCCCTCCATCCTTCCATCCATCCCTCCCCCTACACACCCTTCCGCCCATCCTTCCTTCCATCCATCCCTCCCCATACACACCCCTCCGTCCATCCTTCCATCCCTCCATCCATCCTTCCCCATACACACCTCTTCCTCCACCCATCCCTTCCCATTCACACCCCTCCCTCCATCCTTCTGTCCCTCCATCCATTCATCCCCCTACACACCCCTTCCCCAATCCATCCCTCCCCCTACACACCCCTCCATCCATCCTTCCATCCCTCCCCCTACACACCCTCCATCCTTCCACCCCATCACACCCCTCCCTCTATTCCTCCATCCATCCCTCCCTGTACACACCTCTCCCTCCATCCATTTCTTCCCATTCTCAGCCCTCCATCACACCCCTCCATCCGTCTGCCCCCATACACACCCCTCCGCCCTTCCTTCCACCCCCATCACGCCTCTGCATCCATCCCTCCCCCTACACACCCCTCTGTCTGTCCCTCCATCCATCAGTCCCCATTCACACCCCTCCTCTCTATCTGTCTGTCTCCCATCCCAGCCCTGCTCTCTCCTCTCCTCGCCTGCTTTCTCCTCCTCCCCGTCCCGGCTCTCCCCGTGCTCCCCGCTCTCTCTCACCCCCTGACCACGCCCTGTCTCTCCCTCCCCGCCTGCAGCAGCCACCCCCTGCATCAAAGCCATCAGCCCCAGCGAAGGGTGGACGACGGGCGGGGCCACCGTCATCGTCATCGGCGACAACTTCTTTGACGGGCTGCAGGTCGTCTTCGGCACCATGCTGGTGTGGAGCGAGGTGGGCGAGCCTGAGCCCCCTTCCCCCGGTGCCTCTCCGCCTCCCCACACCCGCCCCCCAGGCCTCTGTCCATCCTGAGGCCTCCCGGCGCCGCGCAGCCCCGTCCCGACGCGCCGGGCAGGGCAGGGCCCCTTCGGGCTGGGCCGGGGGGAGCTCTGGGTCAAGGCGAAGGGGCCCTGCCCTGTGGGGTGCAGCCCCCGGAGGGGCGGAGCCAGGCTCCCTTCAGTGCTCCGGCCCCACCAGATCCTGTCTCAGCGGGCACCATGCCAGATCCCCCCGCCCGTCTCCCAGTGCCAGGCCACTTCCCCCGAGGGAGCCCCGGCCCAGCCTGGCCTGGGGAACGGGGCAAGGGCAGAGGGCGCGGGGGACGGGCTCCAGAGGCACAGCGGCACCCTGGGGGCTTCCCACGGGGGGGGGCTGTGATGGAGGCTCCTCATGCCCCTGGCTGGCCAGCGAAGGGTCCTTGGACTGGGGCTAGTCTGTGAGCTTGAGAGGCCGGGGGAGCCGGCTGGGCTCAGCCCCGGGGGAGGAGAGTGAATCTGCACCTGAATCGGGGCCTTAATCTCCTCCCCGCCCCATTGCCCCTCCGGTCATCATCTCCCCTCCTCCATCCCCCCCCGCACTGCACATGGGCTCAGCCCCCCTCTCTCCTGCCCCTTGCAGCTGATCACCCCTCACGCCATCCGGGTGCAGACGCCGCCCCGCCACATCCCCGGCGTGGTGGAGGTGACGCTCTCCTACAAGTCGAAGCAGTTCTGCAAGGGAGCGCCCGGCCGCTTCGTCTACACAGGTGAGGGGCACGGCCGGGCCGGGCAGCTCTGCCCTCGGGGCTCACCACCCTGCTCCACACCGCTCGGCCACGGCGGGACGAGTGACGTGCCTAGGGCCAGAGAGCGAGTGGGTGGCAGAGGTGGGAGTGGCACCCCAGAGTCCTGCCCCCTCTGGTGTAACTGCCAGGCCCCGCCCCGGGGGACTCTGGGAGTCACTGGGGGTCTGGGTGGCCAGGGACTGGTGGGTGATCTGTCGCCCCCGAGGCCTCCAGCCCATTGGATGGCCAGGAAAACGCATTCTTGGTGGCCAGCGCTTCCTTGGTCTGCCCTTGGGATGCCGTTTCCTCCTGTCCCAGGGCGAGGGGCGTCTGGGTGGGGTGCTGTGTCCTGGGCTCCGGGAGGGAGCCGTCACATGGCCGCTCGCGGGCGTGATGGGAGCAGCAGGCAGCCCCTCTGCACGGCCGCCCAGACGTCTCCCCGCCACCGGCCCAGCAGAGACCGGCTCCCTGCTCTGGGGGGCGCCCCCAGCCTGGGCATGGTGGAGCCACGCCAGAGGGGCAGGGCAGCAAGGACCTGCCTCTCCTGACCCCGTGGAAATGCAGGAGTGGGAGCGGGGCCTCCGTCTGGGCCCTGGTGAGCTCTGAATCACCCCCCAGCCCAGGCTAGGCACAGAGGGCCTGTGGGGGCGGGCGGGAGGACAGTGAGGGGGCAGATGTCTCTATAGGGCTGGTTTGGTGATAGATGTGTGTGTAGGAGGGAGGGACGGAGGGGTAAATGGAGGTAGTTAGGGGTACATGGGGTAGATTATAGAGGGTTCGTTTGGTGATAGGATGGATGGATGGGTAAGTAAGTGGGGGGGTGGGAGGGAGGGAGGTGGACGGAGGTGGGTAGGTAGGTGTGGGGATGGATGTGGGGGGCATGATGGATGGATGGGTAGGTAGGTGGTAGATGCATGGAGGATGGGTAGGTGGGGGGATGGGAGGGGCGGGGATGGAGGGACGGGGTGGCTGAGGTGGGTCAGTGAGAGGTAGATCCATGCGGGGGATGGATAGGTGGGTGGGGAAGATGGGAGGGGCGGGGACGGAGGGAGGGGGGTGGCCAGAGGTGGGTCGCTGTGGGGTAGATGCATGCGGGGGATGGGTAGGTAGGTGGGGGGGATGGGAGGGGCAGGGATGGAGCCAGGGGGGCGGCCAGAGGTGGGTTGCTGGGGGGTAGATGCATGGAGGATGGGTGGGGGGGATGGGAGGGGCGGGGATGGAGGCAGGGGGGCAGCCGGAGGTGGGTCACTGGGGGGTAGATTCATGCAGAGGGGACAGAGGGCAGAGACCCGATGCTGCCTTTCGTAGGGCACTCGTCCAGGTCCCCCACTCCCACTGCTGCTGCTCTCCCTGCTGTGTGGGGGCCCGAAGGGGCCCGGGGGGGTTCCCGGCACTCAGCCTCCCTTTCCAGACCAGGGCTGCTCTGTGCGTATCGACCCGGCTGAGGGGGCCGGGGGCAGTGATTGATTTGGCCCCTGCTCCGCCAGCTAGATCCCAGTTTCCAGCTTCTCTGGCTTTGCCCAGCCTTGGAAGATTAAGGGGGGGGGGGGATCAATAGGGTGTGTGTTCCTGGGGTGGGCTTTCTTCTGTGTGTGACACCGTGTGTGTGTCTAAGACTCTGTGTGTGTGACGTGACACTAGGGTGACCAGACGTCCCCATTTTATGGGGACAGTCCCGATTGTTGGGGCTTTGTCTTATATAGGCTTCTATAACCCCCCACCCCCTGTCCCGGTTTTTCACACTTGCTGTCTGGCCGCCCGACATGACACCGTGTGTGTAATATCGTGTGTGCGTGTGTGAGACCCTGTGTGTGTAACACCATGTGTCTGAGACCCTGTGTGTGGTGCTGTGTGTGTATGTCACTCAGTGTGTGTGTGTCACAGTGATTCTCCCTCCATCCCCATCTGCCCCCCCGGCTGGCACGTGCTCCAGGTGAGCCCCGGCTGCTGAATGGCAGCTCCCCCTGCCAGGCAGTTTGGGCACCTCCCCGGCCCGATGCCCGTGCTCCCCTCCGCGGGGTCGAGCCGCTGACGGGCGTCCCAGCACGCAGCGCCGGGTGGCTCCTGCCCGGAGCGTGGGGCGACGGGTGGGGAGACGGCCCGTCGGCCATTGTCGAAGGGCTGGGGCAAGCCTGCCTGTCCCCAGGCCTTCCCCGGGAGCCAGCCCAGCCCACCCACGTTGCGGCCGGGGGCTCCTGCTGCCAGCCTGCAGAGCCTCTTCTCTCCCCACACCCAGCACCCCTCTGTCTGTCTGTCTGTCCAGCCCTAGCGCCCGGGCGCACCCCTGTCCGTCCAGTCCTAGCCTCCACGTGCCCTGTCTGGCCGTCCAGTCTCTGCCCCTCTGGCCTGGTGCCAGCCCAGGCCGTGGTGCTGAACCCTGGGCTTGGACCCTGGCCATGCAGCTGCGGGGGTTCGGGGAGAGGCAGGGACGTCCCGGCCCCCGGCCCCTGGGTAGACTCCATGTCACTCGCGCAAGGAGGCGACGTCCATCTCTAACGGGAGCAGAGTAGGTGGCTGGGCCCAGGGGTCAAGGATCCATGGGATCGGGGCGACGCCCCGTCTTTTAAACAGTCCCTGGGAGGCCCCCCTCAGTATGCCAGGCCCCCACTGGGTCCCACTTTTCCTTGTGTGGGCCCCACTTCCTAGATGGAGCCTCTGGGCTCCAGCCCCCTGCTTCATGCCTGAAGCTCTGCCCAGCGGGTCGCATGGGGCCAGCCCCCTGGAGAGCCTCGCCCCCCTACATGGAGCAGTGCACCCACAGGTTATGCAGTGACGCCCGGCTGAATTTGCAGACCAAGCCAGGTTTGTTGGGCACCAGGGCGCAGCCCTGGGGCAGCCCCGAGACGTACAGGTGAAAGCACCGTCTGTCTATCCTGCCCCCACAAAGCACCAGTCGGGGGTGGCGGGTTCACCCCTGGCTCTGGCTCTCTCTGGCCTGCCTCAGCCCCTGGAGAGGGCAGACAGCCTGTGCCAGGAGCCGGCCCCTTATCACTGCCGGTCCCCTCCCAGCCCGCTGTGCCCAAGCCTGCAGGCCAGGCAGTCGCAGGGTCACCAGGGTCAGTGTTCTGGCCTCAGGGATTGCCCGTCGTCATCTCGGGTTCTCCATGGCTTTGGGTCAGACTCAGCCACTCTTTAGCCTGACAGCTCAGCGACACGCATGCCTGCGTCTGCTGGCCTGCCCTGAGAGCGAATGTTGTCCTTTCTTCCCCCTGGGAGCCAGGCAAGGCTGGAGGGAAACTGAGGCACACACCGGGGGCATAGTATTAATACAAAACTTTCCCACTTTGTCACCCCAGGACTCCTGGGTTCTGTGGCCTGGCTCTGTGCCCATGGGTAGGTCAGCCCCCTGCACCATGCCTCAGTTTTCCCCACGGGGACAGCGCCAGCCCTTCCCCTCAGGCAGGTTGGGTTTAGAGGGAGCCCCGTCCATGGCACCTGACCCTCTCTGTTTCCCTCCCTTCCCAGCACTGAACGAGCCAACCATCGACTACGGGTTCCAGCGGCTGCAGAAGGTGATCCCCCGGCACCCCGGAGACCCCGAGCGCTTACCCAAGGTAGGGCTGCTCCCCCGTGGGGCACGGAGGCAGCACGGGTCAGGGTGGACAGCCCCACGGCGGTCAGGTTCCCGTGCCACTAGCCCCGCAGGGTGACTAGCGGGTGGCCCTGTCACAGAGTCCCCGGGCGATGCTACTGCTCCCTACGAAGCCAGTCAGGACTCTGGGGCAGTCTCCTCTCTGGGAGCAGCCTGTCTGCAAGACACACAGCTCACCCGGCTTCCCCCTTCCTGGGTCTGACCTCGGAGCATTCAGCCTCCTCTGCCCCTCCATGTGCTTCCCACAGCGAGTCCGTTCAGGCGGGGTCCTGGGGAAGCCAGAGGGTCCTGCACCCCAACTCCGCAGGCAGACGGGACCCTCAGCCAGCCAGTAAAACAGGTTTATTAGACATCAGGAACATGTCCTAAAACAGAGCTTGCAGGTGCAGAGAACAGGACCCCTCAGCTGGGTCCATTTTGGGGGGCAGTGAACCAGACCACCACATCTGCCCTTCACTCCATGTCCCAGCCAGCCCCCAACTGAAACTCCCTCAGCCCCTCCTCCCCTGGGCTCTGTCCCTTTCCCGGGCCAGGAGGGCACCTGATTCCTTTGTTCTCCAGCCCTTTAGCTCTCACCTTGCAGGGGGGAAGGGCCCAGGCCATCAGTTGCCAGGAAACAGGGTGTCGGCCATTCTCTGTGTCCAGACCCCTGCACACACCTGCCCTCTAGGGCTCTGCAACGATCATACACCCTTACCCCACCACCTAGAGACTTAAGAACTGCCTAGGGGAAACTGAGGCACCCCCACACTATTCAGAGGAAACATTAAGAACAGTCCCACTTCGTCACAGGCCCACAGTGGTGACGGGCTCCACAGCACTGCTAGCGAATGGCTGCATGGCTCTGCCCCCATGCTCCCCATGCCCAGACAGCATGCTCGCACCCGGGCTGAGGGGGCAGGGGAGGGGAAATGGCGTGCCAAGGCCAAGCAGCTGCCTGGGGCTCCCCGAAGATCCTCCTATTCTGCTGTGACCCTGCCCTGGCGTTAGTGAATTTATACCCCTCCCTGCCCTCACCTCCCGAGGGGGAAACTGAGGCGCAAGTGGCAGGGAAGTCCCTGGGGCCTCCCTGCTGCCAGGGCCGCCCGGCTGGGTCTGCTCGCAGGATTGAGGCCACCATCATCAGTGGGAATCTGGTTTTTGTTTCCCGAGGCACTTTCCCAACATACAGACACCCCAGTGCTGCCCGAGAGAGCACAACCCGACCGACCGGCCCAGGGGGAGCAACTTGGCCATCGGCCATGGGGAGGGGATGTCGGGCTGGCTGGGGACTCCAGGCCTGGCACGCCGCACCCCTGAGAGGCCGGGTGCCTCAGAGACTTCAGCCGTCCCTGGCACTCCTCCCTCTGTTGGCACTGCTCCCTCCCTGTGCCCCCCTTTGCGCCCCTTGCCCCGGCAGGGGACAGCAGTTTGCTATCGCTGTGCTGGTCGGGGAGAGGGGTGGACGCTGCCTGGGGCAAACATAAACGCAGTGTGAAACAGCCCCCCAAACAACCCCCATGGGGCATGGGGGGCCCTTTGGAGATGGTGCCAGGCAGCTGGGATGGGGGCACAGCCAGTGATGGGCTGCATGAGGGGTGGGGGCCGGCGGGCTGTGGGGCGCTGCAGGGAGCAGGGCCTAGATGGGCCTGTCCTTCCCCCCACCACCTCCCCGCCCCTCGCGGTGACACTAATGGCTCCAGGCAGGGCCAGGGCCGCCTGATGAGAAGTGACAGGCCAAAGCTGCTGACAAATTGGAGCCATTCATCATGCGGTGACAGGGCCCAGCCGCCCATGCTGCGCTCGCTGCTGCCCCTGCGGGGATGGGGGGCAGGGACCCCCGTCCCAGTGTACACATGGGGGCCACAAGGGGGAACGACCTGCCCCAGGGCCCAGAGGCCATCGGAGACAGACGCAGGATTAGAACCCGAATCCTGTGCTCCGGCCCTATGGGGCAGCGGCCCCTCCGCCGGGAGTGGGGGGACAGCACGGCATTCTCTGTGCCGCCCACCAGCGTATCGCTGTCAGATAGCCAGGGGGCCGGTGGGTAGAGCAGGGGGTGGGCCTCAGGACTCCTGGGTTCCATTCCTGGCTCTGGGAGGGGAGTGGGGTCTGTGGGTGAGAGCCAGGACTTCTCCCCCAGGCCTGCAGTGCTCCCCTTTCTCCCACCAGCTGTCCCAGGCGTGGGCACGTGAGGCTTGGGGGAGGGTGCTGATGGGGTGTCCAGGCGTCCAGGGTTGTACCGGGGCCACCCACCCCACCCTGGTTCCCAGCTCAGCACTGGCTGGGGCTGCTGATCGGGTTCCCGGGAGGGGAAGGGCACTGTGTCCGTGCTGCGGCCCAGATGAGGGGCCCCCCTGCCCCCCCCCCATGGCTGGGAGGCTTTGTGCCCCCAGCCCGTGCCCATAGCTGAGACACGTGGTGGGCGCGGGGGTATTGGCTGCATTCAGCCCCAGCCGTAACCAGCTGGCTGGCTCGGCATAGCCGGCCCAGGCCAGGGGCCAGGGGTGCCTGGAGAAGGGCAGTCGCTGCCCCCCCGCCACCTGCCCGCGCCCCAGCAATCCCAGGGTCAGTACCACCCGCGCTGGCGATCAGCCTGAGCGAGCGGTCAGCGGGTGCGGGCCGCAGCCGGGCTTCTCCATGGCGGCATTGATCGGACAGGGATTACAGACGGCCAGCGAGCGCGTGGCCGCGATTGTCCGTGCTTAGCTTGACAGCAAGTCAATACCGCGGATCTCAGTGGCTGGGGGCGGGGGGCTGGACGGACGGGGCGCTGCCCACCTCGCCCCCACACACGCCTTTGCCGCCCGCCAGGGGGCCCTGGGCAAACAGCTGGGAACCAGGCGGGGGGCCGAGGCCTGGCAGACTCCTTCTCTGTGCCCGTCGCCCCACAGACCAGCTTCCCATGGAGGGGCCTGGGCTGGGGTGCTGTGTGTGTTGTGTACCAGTGTGGGTGAGTGTGTGTTGTGTATTGGGGGTGCTGCCTATTGGGGAGGGGTGTTGTGTATCTGTGGATGAATGTGTGTTACATATTGGGGATGTGTGTGTGTATTGGGGTGGGTGTGTTGTGTATCGGTGTGTCTGGTGTTGTATCTCAGTGGGTGTTGCGTATTGGGGGTGTGGGTGTGTGTGTGTATCGGGGTGCTGCATATTGGGGTGAGTGTGTTGTGTATCGAGGTGGGGGGGTGTATCGGGGGTGCTGCGTATTGGGGGGTGTTGTATATCGGGATGTATGTGTGTATGTATGTGTGTATGGGGCGGGTGAGTTGTGTATCAGGATGTGAGTGTGTTGTGTATTGGGGTGTGGGTGTTGTGTATCAGGGCATGTGTATTGTGTATCAGGATGTGAGTGGGTGTGTTGTGTATCGGGGTGTGTGTGTGTGCTGTGTACCCGTGTGTGTGTGTGTGTTGTGTATCAGGATATGAGTGGGTGTGTTGTGTATCGGGGTGAGTGTGTTGTGTTGTGTATCGGGGTGTGTGTGTGTGCTGTGTACCCGTGTGTGTGTGTGTGTGTGTTGTGTATCAGGATGTGAGTGGGTGTGTTGTGTATCGGGGTGTGTGTGTGTGCTGTGTACCCGTGTGTGTGTGTGTGTTGTGTATCAGGATGTGAGTGGGTGTGTTGTGTATCGGGGGCACATGTGTTGTGTATAGGGGATGTGAGTGGGTGTGCTGTGTACCCGTGTGTGTGTGTGTGTTGTGTATCAGGATGTGAGTGTGTTGTGTTGTGTATCGGGGGCACATGTGTTGTGTATAGGGGATGTGAGTGGGTGTGCTGTGTACCCGTGTGTGTGTGTGTGTTGTGTATCAGGATGTGAGTGGGTGTGTTGTGTATCGGGGTGAGTGTGTTGTGTTGTGTATCGGGGTGAGTGTGTTGTGTATCAGGGCATGTGTATTGTGTATCAGGATGTGAGTGGGTGTGTTGTGTATCGGGGTGAGTGTGTTGTGTTGTGTATCGGGGGCACATGTGTTGTGTATAGGGGATGTGAGTGTGTGTGCTGTGTACCCGTGTGTGTGTGTGTGTGTGTTGTGTATCAGGATGTGAGTGGGTGTGTTGTGCATCGGGGTGAGTGTGTTGTGTTGTGTATCGGGGTGTCATGGTTGTGGGGGTGTATAGGGGGGTGGTGTGTGCTGTGTACCCGTGTGTGTGTGTGTGTGTGTTGTGTATCAGGATGTGAGTGGGTGTGTTGTGTATCGGGGTGAGTGTGTTGTGTTGTGTATCGGGGTGTGTGTGTGTGCTGTGTACCCATGTGTGTGTGTGTGTGTGTGTGTTGTGTATCAGGATGTGAGTGGGTGTGTTGTGTATCGGGGTGAGTGTGTTGTGTTGTTTATCGGGGGCACATGTGTTGTGTATAGGGGATGTGAGTGGGTGTGCTGTGTACCCGTGTGTGTGTGTGCACACTGTGGGGCGGGGGGTGTATCCAGGGAAGGGTGCACCTGTGCACCCTCTATTGGCAGACCCCCGTTACAGCACGGCCCTGCCTGCCCCCCAGCGTCCGGTTGCTGTCCGGTGTCCGTGTGGGCAGAGGCCTGTGGGGCCGGGGTGACGGGAGGCTGGGGCGGGCCGGGGGGGCCGGGACTGGAGAGAGGAGAAAGGGGCCCCCGTACCTCCAGCTGTGGCTTTATGGTTGACCCCTGGGGATAAAATCTCGCCGGATGCGCCCTCTCCAGAGAGCGCCCCGCCCTGCCCGTCCCTCGCGTCACCCCTCCCGGCAGCCCCCTTGCGGCCCCGGGACTGGGGAGCCCGGGTGCGTCCGGCTGCCCGCTCTGGGCCCGAGGCACCCACGGCTCTGCGCTGCACCGGACACGGGGCTTGTCCCCGGGGATCGAATAGGAGTGGCCACGCCTGGCGCTCCTCAGGACCGGCTGCTGCACTTCCAGCCCCGCCCGCCCGCCGGGTTACGGCTCAGCGCAGACAGGGCTGCAGGGCTGGGCTGGAAGTGGTGCAGTGGCCCCCTTGCCATGTGGACGCCCGGACTCCAGAGG